TGTTGGAGAAGACTCTTGAGAGTCCCTTGGACTGCAAGGAGATCCAACCAGTCCATCCTAAAGGAGATCAGTCCTGGGTGTTCATTGGAAGGACTGATGCTGAAGCTGAAATTCCAATACTTTACCACTTCATGTGAAGAGTTGACTCATTGGAAGGGATGCTGGGAGGGACTGGGGGCAGGAGGAGAAGGGGATGACAGAGGATGAGATGGCTGGATGGCATCACCGACTCGATGGACATGGGTTTGGGTGGACTCTGGGAGTTGGTGATGGACAGGGAGGTCTGGCGTGCTGTGATTCATGGAGTCGCAAAGAGTCGGACACGACTGATCGACTGAACTGAACTGAACTGAACTGAGAACTTTCTTTAGATAACAAAAATACTAGTTCCTTTTCAAGATTTCTTTAAAAGAGGTTAGCAGACATTTGGTCCTGTCTAAAATGTCCAAGAGACATTTGGTCCACTACAAAAATCCATGATATTTGGTCGTGTCCTAAACCATTTAACGTAGACCAAACAAGCTCATGGACATTTTAGACAGACCAAATCTCAAGGACCTTTTGGTATCCACTAGATGTTTCAGAGACTAAATGTCTCATGGATGCCTTGGACAGAACCAAATGCCCTCAAGGTTAAAAGAAATCTGTTTTTTTCCCCTCCCCCATAACTTCTAGAGTAACTACTTACCCTCAGGGATTTCCACTTGGAAAATTTGATTTTAAAGTCCAAAGAGGCATTTAGAAAATTTTTAAATTTTTCACAAAAATTCAGTGAATGCACTTTTCCTCCTCTGATTTTATATAACTGAGTAATTCCCAGATGAGTTATGAAACACTCCTGAATGTAAGTTCTTTGAAACAATGGTATGGCATTACATAAGCTGAAAGCACCACAGTTATTGCTATTGCTAGTGCATTAAATATATGAGAGAGTCTTTGATACTTATCCTGAGGGTGTAATAAATGATGCCTGTGTCACCTGGATGATCAAGTTTCACAGCTGTGACCTCTGCTAGTAAACAGTAAATCACTTGAAATAGTGCCAAATTTCAAATTACATGTGCTAACTGAGGGTGACCCTAGACTGATTAGTCATTGATTCCATTTTTTGTTTTCTTCACCAGGGAAGCTAAGGACTGTTGGAATGATTGACTCTCATTCCTTTACCTTGACCCAATTTAGTTTATTAGTAAAATTGTCAGCTACAAGAAAGGATAGGAAAGATGAAGAGAAAGAAAAAAAACCAATAAAGCACTGCCTATAAAATCTATTCACCTGTATTAACATTTGGATATTATAAATTATTTATTATTCTTGAGTTCAAATCCATAATTTCAGTCTGCAAAGTTATTACATTGGCCATTCTGAAAACTAAAGGACCTCTTAAAGAGATTTTGATAATTTATTACAGCAACTATGAACATCAGAGAGAGAACTTTTCACTACCAAATCTCACTGTTCTTAAATTATCAAATAAACTCCCAATTATAGAAAATTAGTATGTTCACTAAATTAATCTGAGGAATTCACTGCAGGCTGAAGCTGTTCATTCTACACTTCTTCCCTACAAATTGTTACTGAATTTAATCCTGTTTTAGCACAAACTCCTCATTGTAACTAAAACACATTTCCAAATAAGAGAGAAAAATTGAGTAGATAATTTATTTTTTTAAAAATGGAGAATAAAATAACTAATTTTATTTTAAGCTCTGAGAGAGCAGATTTTCTCTTAGAGGAGTGGGTAAATGAATTTCTCATTACCTTCAATTCAAACTAGCAAAATGAATCAAGTTAGCGCCCTCCCCTGAAATCCGGAGACTTCACTGAGGTAATGAAACACATGAGGCCTGCACAGCAGAGCAGCATTGGGAATGCAAATGCACAGTATGCCCATGTGGTAGCAGATCCCTCCTCTCACAGGCCTTGGCTTTTATTGAAATGAAATGGCCATTTGACTAAATTCACAAAATGGAAATGCTCTTTCAGGCATTTAAAAAATAAGGCCTACCAAGGTTCTTTGCCTTGATCTATGGTTGTTTCACAATTTCAGTAAGAACTGGATTTATGAAAAAATTTAAAGTATACATATCTACTTTTAAAAGTGATATTTGGGGGCTAATAACTTTCATCAGTTCTCATGCACAACAGTTTTTACTGGATCCAGTTTTGAAGTGCTGTGCAAATATTTGAATTTTAGTGGATAATAGCAAGTTAACTGACAACTGAATTCGTCACTTTTCTTTTGATTGATCTTTCTTCTGTAAACACGACTTGGATACAATATATATTTTTGCTCCTAGGATACCAATACAGTATAAAAATAACTGGAAACTGGAAGTTGCTAGTGTATAAAATGTGGATGTCATTCTTATCTTTGTTAATGAATCTTCATTTTGTTCCCTATGAGTCTACAATACAACTCATATTAGGGAAATACTTATGATGTAAACATAAATCTGTATATGTTTTTTCATTTTTTGGGTGAAGATAATTATTTTGAATATTTTCCTTCTTGGTTGAAAAGCTAATCTTATGTTAATTATATAACACAATTCAAAACTAGCTCACTGAGCATATAAACTCTAATAGTCAATATACTGGAATATAGTGAAACTATCACAATTAAATATACCTGGAATCAAATAAACTAGATACTTCAGTCTCTATGCTATAGAAATATGAATTTTGGTATTATATTCTTAGACATGTTTGTTTCTCATTAATTAGAAACAAAAAAGAATTTGCCAAGCATTTCCTGAAATATAACTGAATGGGGAGGACATTCTAAAGTGGGCATTTATTCTAAGCTCAATTAACTATGACAAAAATTTAATTTTGTTTTAAGGTTTATAGATAATTAATTCAGTCATGGTACATTATTTAAGATGTACTAGCAAATCTATTTTTTTCAAGAAGACTTTCACTACAGAGTCACATTTGTTTTGCAGGAATATTATAACACCTTGTAAGACTTGAATTATGAGTACCTATTATTTTAATTTGCATCCAGTTAATTCTGTTTGTGTTCTAATTTCAACTAAAAACTCTTCAATTTATCAACGTTCTGAAGCTTGTATGTTTAATAAATTAAATTTATCTATTGCCATGAAAGGGGTATTCAAGCAGCATAAAATAAGAACCATGTTATAAAAATTAATTGACTTTCACAATTTGACAACTAAATCTTCCTTTAATTACCTAGTTAGGTTTTTTCCCTCCTTTTTAAGGTGGAAGGCAGTCTTCTGGCCACTTTTACAATTAATGAACTTGAAACAAAATGTATGATGGAGGGTTGAAAAATACAACTTGTTACTAAAAGCTCCATGATAACGAAGATGTAGGAGAAAAAAAGAGAGGCATTGAAACCCCAGTTGAAAGGCAATGCATAACAGATGCTGCAGAAAGCACATTAGGTGCAAAGAAACAGCTTGAAGTGTAAGACAACAATTAGCTTTTTCAAGAAAAAGAATACATCCTTTTTCAAGAATGTGAAATGAATGTAGTCTTGGTGACAGAAAGAAGTACCACGTGATGACAAAAGGCTCATTAGTCATATTTGATGGCTAGTGATTTAATTGCTTTCAATTTTAGAATGCTCATGTTGCATTTTACACATGATCCAAGGACTTAGTTTTGGCAAAGTCTAATCATCTAAACTAAAGTAACCTACTATCAAACAATTTTGCATAAACCAAACAAAAATTTATTTATTTAGTTTATTTAGTCTGCTCTTTCACTTTAAATATTTCATTAAAATTTCAAGGTGAGTAGGAAACAAAGTGTAAAAATAATGTGATAAAATTCCTCATCTAACATTTTTCGATTGCAAGGAGATAAGAAGTATTAAAGTAAAGCTTTATACAAGGACTTATAAAGTAACAAATTATGTAGATATTATATACACAATACATGTCTCTTGTATATATCATATGTCATGCATGTCATACCCATATTTTTAAAAAGCCGTATAATCATATGATGTGCCATGTTTAATGAGATCCATTGAGGCTGCCAATTTTTTTTTTACTAAATTCTTTATTTTTTACATTTGAAAATAAACTAAACTAAAATCACTCCACCTAATTTTGAGATATTTGCAATAGGACTCATAAGTGATACTGCACATTTTCATTTGAATTGGAATTGCGTAGGAAAATCTTTGTTGCAAAAAAAACTCAGTAAAGTGTATTTGGAATAAAGTACATAAATAGTACATACTTACCAATTCTCTTGGACCATATGGCTCACAGAAGGTGACAGCATTGCCATGCATAATTGCACCACACTGTTCTCCAGTCTCACAGTTGTTACATTCCACCCTATGGGAACACAGAACATAACCTCAGTCTGTGAACCAAGTAGCACAGAGTGGTTTATCACCCAAAAGATATAATAGATATTGTTATTCAGTTGAAATCAACATTTCCAGGTAGGTAACGGTATTTTGTATTGTGACAAGTTCAGTTCAGTTCAGTTCAGTCGCTCAGTCGTGTCTGACTGTTTGCGACCCCATGAATCACAGCACGCCAGCTCTCCCTGTCCATCACCAACTCCCAGAGTTTACGGAAGCATAAGAACAGAAAGACTTGAAGTTCAATCCTAGTTCTCTCAGTAACTCGCACTGGAGGTTACTTTAACTTCCCAAAGTTTCAATTTTCTCATCTGTAATATGAAGATAATAATATTGAACTAAATATCACATAGTTATCATGAGGATTAAATGAGAGAATGTATATAAAACAGAGTACAGAACTAATCTTATAGTAGGCGCTTAATAGCAGCAGTTAGTATTATTACAAATTATTACATAACATACTATGTTCAATACAAGTATTTTGCTAATATTAAAGATAAGCAAAGTTATATACACTTATATAATGAACTAAAACCATGTATCTCTGAAATCAAAAGGTGTTTTACAAATGTAAACCTGTTTCTTTTGAATTATGATTAACATCAATGTTTAAAATAACTGTTCTCAAATAGATTTGCAAGTCTACAAAATATACCATGCAAAAAATAATGGAATCAGATTGTATTTAATCCACATAATAATATGAAATAAATACAAATTCTAATCCAAGCAAATTTTAGATACTGAGTTAATGTTAAACTTGCAAATAATTTACTTAGTTGCTTTCCTTATTATTATGAAGTGGCTAATAAAATCTTAAAACAGAACCTCAAAATTAAATATATTCATCTCTTCAGTATAAATTGACAATACGAATACTGTGGATTTGACTTTGCATATTTACAGTAACATTTATAATGCTCTGGCATTATGATATTTCAACCTACAGTCATTACATGTAGAAAGACTGAGCTACGTTTTCTTAGTCTGAACCTCAAAGTGCATGAGAGCTGTATTTCAAGCAGAAAGGACATTTTAAAAGACTTTTACATTCTAGGTGCCAAACATTGTGGACAGGGTACTATGCCCTTTGTTTTTGAAGACTGTTGTATCAGGCCCTTTCAGTTGTTGGCTAATCTCAGAGAAAAGAAGGAGCAGGAAGTCCTATTCAAAGAGGAAGAGGACAAAGGTATGAAAGGATACCACGAAGCTCATAAAGCCAAGAGGCAGAAGCACAATAAGTAAAAACTTGGCAAATAAATAGACATATTTCCTACATGTGAACTGCATGGAAAAAATATTCTAATCTTTTGAGCTGTATTCCCATACAAAGAGGATCAACAATGTCAAGAAGCTTTGATTTTTTAAAAATAAACAGAGAACAACTTCTGACATGGAATTTTAAATGGTAGTATCTCATATCTTAGTAGACTGAAATCTTTGCTTGATTACTGTAAAGAAAGATTCTAATAAAATATCCTTTATGTTAGAAGAGACACAGTAGTAGCTTCATGGTGCAACGAGTATGTCTCTTGTTCACCATCTTATGCTTGGCATGATGTGAAAAGTGAAAGTCGCTCAGTTGTGTCCACTCTTTGGGACCCCATGGACTGTATAGTCCATACAATTCTCCAGGCCAGAATACTGGAGTGGGTAGCCTTTCCCTTCTCCAGGGGATCTTCCCAACCCAGGGATTGAACCCATGTCTCCCACATTGCAGGCAGATTCTTTAGCAGCTGAGCCACAAAGGAAACACAAGAATCCTGGAGTGGGTAGCCCATTCCTTCTCCAGCAGATGTTCCTGACCCAGGAATTGAACCGGGGTCTCCTGCATTGCAGGTGGATTCTTTAGCAACTTAGCTATCAGGGAAGCCCTAAGGCTTGAGGTCTAAAGCACCTCAAATAGAGCCTGGCACACTTCAAACAGAACAAGCATGATACAAGTGTTAGCATAAGTTTTAACTATTTTTATTATGGATTTCCAACATTTTCATCCATAACAGGTACATTAGGTTTTTTTCCCCCCACAGAGAATCGTTACATGAACTTTTTACTACTGTTTTTCTATTCTTAAAACTATACATTAATTTTTTCCCAAGGAGTGTGATTCTGAAGTACATAGAAGTAGCATCAAAATCACAGTGGGCTTCTTAGTGATAGATGAGGATTATTTGTCCTCCAAGGGATCGTGAAATGACTCAGAAGAAAAATAAGCTTTGTTGGAGAAATTAAAAGATTGTTCAACCCTCACATGGACTATCTGCCATTTTCCTCCAGTGATTCTAAACTAAAAGCATCACTGTTGGTGTGAAGTCCGAGGCCTGATATTTGAATCCTCAAAGCAATCATTCTATCTATAAATATTGATCAGTAGTTCCCAAATCAACTGTATATCAGGAAAATGGTATCTGTATAAACACATGTATTTCAAATCCCCATCACCCACAGTTTAGGTTAAATAGGATTCAGGTGTAGCCTAGATATCTGTATATTGTTTAAACATGATTCTAGCATAGGTACCTGTAGCCTGGCACTAGGGAACCAGTGAATAGACAGTAGATGTTTGATGTGTTTGGAGAACCACTCCTATTTTGTGGAATAACAAGAGTTAAAAAACCAATAAAACACACAAAAAAGGCAATCAGTTACAGCATTCTCCCCACTTAGCTCAACAACCCCTCTGGACCTTCTTCCTTGATGTACTTTATAGCTCCAGAAACTCAAAATTAACAAAGGCATTGGTACCCGGTTGAATCTTAAAGATCTTGAAATACCAGCTATTACTCACTGAATTGTTGCTACCTGGAGGCACAATGACTTCACCAAGGACTGATGAAACAAATCTGTTAGCTTCCTGTCAAGGTCTTTTAAATGCCCTTTGCTTGAATTTTTCAGTATGACTGGGTTTGTCAACATAATTTATTATAAGTTATTTTGAAAACATCCCTCTGGGTAGTCAAATCCAATCTACTCTTAGCTGCCAATGGTGTATTTACTCATTTATCATTCATTAATTCATTCTTATAATTAACAAACTTGTGCTAGGAACCTATAGGCACTGTGATGAGCTTTAGTGGTACAAAGACCAAGAAAAGTGCTATTTATTTATAACATTTAAACTGTAGTTTCCCAACTGAATTTGTTCAAGAAAATGATGGGTTCTGTAAAGTAAGGTAACATATTCTTCACAGATTGATGGCAAGAGGAAGTTTTAAATAATTTCAGTTAAACAGATTTTTGTTTTTCAATTTAAAAAGAAATGTGAACTCCCAAGCTAAGGATTAGAAACGAATTGCTTCTCTGCTTACTGAATATTTCTCTAATCTAAGAAACTCCCCCCCCCATTTCTTTTTCTCAATATGAAAAACATATTCTTCATATTCTTATGAAGAACATAAGAATCTGACAAATACCACGGCACATCATATGAATCGCCCACATCAAAATATACTCTCATGAACAGTATGATTTAAAGACATTTTAAGGGAAATGCTTGCTATCCCCAAAGACCATGCAAAGCCTGAATTTATTGAGCTCTCCTTGAATCTATTTATCACATGCTTAGGTACCACATGAATCTTATCTATTACTAGAGTTCACAGATCATTAGGCGTTCAAGTTGGAGGGCATCTGAAGTATCACCGAGTTTCATTACCCCCTCATTTTACAAATGACAGGATGAGACTAGAGGCCAGTTTTCCTGACTCCTTGTCCAATATTCTTCTCACTTCACTCTAATGCGGCCAGGAAGAGAAAACTCCAATTCCACAAAAATCATGTGCATTTCAAAAATGTTTGTCATCATTTTTGCTATCAGAGTTCATCTGGAAAACCTAGTGTCTTTTCTTAAAAGTTGCTTTTTTCATTTGTAGAATAAGGGATTTTGCTTTGCTAATACAAATGTATAAAAATAAAAGAAATGTCATGGACTTCATAGAAAATGTTTAGAATGAATTTACTGGACTAAAGTACATAAGCAAATTGAATATTCTTTTGGTCATGTACATCCTTAGATAATTCATCCCTATTTTATATACACATTATCATGCTACCATTTTTTCCACTAACAAAACCATAAAGGAATCAGTAAGGATGAAGGCAGGTACTTGTTGACCAACACATGTAGGGTTAAACTGTAAACATAAAAGAAAAAGAATGCTTTGAGCCAAGATTCGGTTTTCACTCTAACAAGCTCCTTGGCAGTTTGAAACTTGTTATTTTGGAGACAATACTCCATTTTATTTTTTTATTATTTAGGTGGCTGTTTTTGTTTAGAAATTATATGTACATTTCTGAAGGTATAATTATGTTTTTAATCCTGACTTTAAAATTATTAGGCTGGAAAACGTGACAAAGTCCCTGTTCAGAAGGCATAGAGGAAGCTCGAGTGAAATGTCCCTGGAGTCTCTGCGGGGCCCATGTCCTACAGAGACTCACACAGGACTTTCAGGACACCGGAAAGAGGAGGAGGATTAATGAGAAACTTGGGCTCCATCGAACAGTCAGAGATTTATGAATGGTTGGTGGTGACATCATCCTGATAACAATAAATAAATAACCAAAATACTATTTTCTCAAGAGCAGTCTAATTACATGGCTCATTCTTCTTTTTAGATCAGAGTGAAATCACTCAGCCTTTAGTCAGTCACTCTGCTGAAACAAGTTAATCATCTGGAAACTCAGTGACAATCAGTTATCAAATTCTCATTTGGGATACATGCTGTTTGTCCCCAAGACTGGGGACATTGTATTATCTCTCTGTAATTTATTGCCTCTAAAGGAGGCGATGTCTGGTATTCTATGAGTCAGAATTGTCTATTCACCAGCATTTCTGAACAGAGATATTAAAATACTTTTAATATTTGATCTGATTATAAAATGTACTTTAAAAATGGAAAGAGAAAAGAGAAATCTCTTATAATTTCCTGACCCAAAGATAACAAGTCTGTTCCCCCAGGTACAGCT